CATTTACCTTTGGTCTTAAACATCATATACATGAGAAATTAATGTTAAAAATGGATTCTGTATGGCAGGGTGGTTCAGAGTCATTTTGTTAGTTGACACTGGGTCAGATTCTGCTCTCTTTATCTATCATGGCTTCATTAAGCATAGTAATTCTGGAGGTGTTTAGATGCTGTATCAAAGTAAATTTTTTGTAGCTGAAAAAAAATTTTTAAGTGCTGTCTACTCTGTATTGTAGGGTTTAATCCACTGCAAATTCAACAGAATTTTTTGCACAGAGCTACTTAGGAATACTGGGGAGGGTGCAGCAGACAGGAAGGGCAAAGATAGTCAGAAAATACTTATTAAACTAAACTAAAGCTATCCAAAGCCGACTTTTCTGAAAAAACTTTTGTGAAGAATGTTTTCTTAGTTTTCTTTCTCTTTTAGCCCAGCCAGCACATCCCTGCAGGCACGCACCCATCCCAGCACCCCACTCCCAGGGACACTGCAGGGCCACAGCCCGCACCCACACCCACAGCAAGGGCAGGTTAAGCTGAGCAAATGCCCTCCTTCAAACTCCATATTTCTCCCAATTGATTGAATACAGTATTTCAGATATTTAGCATTCCCTACATTTACATGGCCGCAGGCATGACAGCTGAGGTTTGATGAACAACCAGAAACAGCAAAATCTCCAGTACTGTGGAATGGAATAGATTATGTCCTATAGTGTTAGATTATGTCCTATAGTGTTGATTTATTAGTAATTTTGTTAATATTTTCTGCTTTGATGAAACTCTCATTTTTGCATGGGATTTTTCATTTTCATTTGCATTGTTCAGATTCCAACCAAGATACTGTAAGCAAAAATAATAATTAAGTTTCCAGCTCAATCATCAACAATAATTTCTTTTCCAGTTTTTCTGACAATCAGGTATGCAAATTATCTGAACAATACAGACACAAGCCTTTAAAATGTATTTCTTTTCTGGTGTATGATAGCCACTTCAGGCAAATTTCTCTCTTAGGATGTTCCTTATCACTATTTCTAGCACTATTTCTGTTTTTTAGATGCTAAAAAACAAAAATTGTCAAAGATTAGCATAAGATTTTAGTCCGATCAACCAGAAAAATACATCATTTCAGCTACAACTGTCTCCTCATTTGCCAAAGTGTCCATACAGAAACCTGGTATTATACAGAAACCTTCTATTTAACATGCAAGCATAGAACAAATTTCTTTGCTAACTAAACTAACCTTGTATAAGCATTAATATACATTTTTAGAGAGAGAAGTAAACCAGATAATAGGCAAATACCAGAAAAAAAACCCACAAATGTTCATAAGAATATTTCATCAAATGTGTTTTCATTACATGGAGACCTTATTCATATTAGCTGCTCATCAACCTTACAATTGATTACTTACCAAAACAACGTGTAAAATGCAAACTTTTAATTAGTACAGTATTGTCTGTATCTCCACCTGACTTTTTTTAATAATTACTCCCAATCGGCGAGAAGAAACTACACATGTAGTCATGTGTCACATAAATCAGTTTGAATACCAGAATTTCTCAGTTAACCATCTATAGTACCCTGCAGACCAAGAGTTATTTGCTAAAATAATTCAACACACAAAATGAATAATCTTGGTGGAAAAACCCATCATTTGCTGAAAGAAAATTTAAGAGCAAAGCAAGAAACAGCTATTTGAATAAACCATTCACCTGCTAACTTTAAGGAATATTTATGGTCCCTGCTTAAATTGAAGAAAGTTTGAATTATTGGTCTAATCAGTTAGAGACAGAGGGGTAACTGGAAACTGTGCATTAACGTAGACCAGGGATGGGACCTCATGGTAGCATGCCAGGGAGAGCCATGCATGGGACAGATCAGTTGCAGAGCATGCTGTGCTGTCCCCTTCTCCAGAAGCATGTGGCCACGAGGGTCATAAGTAAGGGTGCATCTTATTTCCTTTTTTCAGTCCTGGCTGCCACAGCAGACATGAGAAGAAACAAAAAGCCAATCCCTACATGTCATCCACCTGCCATCCCACAGAAACTTTCTTGCTTCTGACTCCATGGGAACGCACTCCCCTGCTCAGGCACGGGAATATCTCTCTTCTGTTACTACCTCTGGCATTTCAAATGAGATCTGCTGGAAAGGAAAACTATCGTGGCCAGAAAAAGAGAGAGCATTTAGTATAGCTTGTCAAGAGCTAACATCCATGGAACGTGGCCTTCACACCAGGACAGTGCCCTTATGCAGCTACTGCTCGGCAGGGTCCTGCTTCTGAAGTGTTTGTATGTGCTGCCAAAGCCAAATCTTAAATATTGCGATGAATTCAGCTACGGATTCAACAGCAACAGACTTCCAGCTGCTGAATGGAAAACTTGCATGGTATCATAGAGGAAGTGTTCTCAGAGTCAGACTGTCCTATGGAGCAATGCACATCAAATGTCCCTAGAAAAGACAGCACGCAAAGTGCTCGAGTGTGCAGTGGTACTTCTACCAAAATGAGAAATTTTGAAAGATGCCAAAGACAAAGCAGAAGTCATTTTTTGCAAGAGGCTCTTCTATCTCAGTCTGTGTTTGACCTACAGTGCATACCAGAGGGCAGACCAAACTCCACCAAATTGCTCACAAAGGAACCGTTAAGTTACCAAGGAGGCTGGACAAGTATTAACACGGAATCCATTAATGAGGAGTTAAAGGAAGTGAAGCCACCTTAAAAATCTAAGAACACAAAGATGGATCTGCTGAGTGGAAGGGGTAGCTTAAGCTTCAGCTGAAATGTGCATATATTTAAAAAGATTCAGTCTAGTGCTTTCCATATTAATAGCCAAGCTTTCAAAGAAGGCCTGAACTGTGAAACATGTACAGGCCACCTACTTCAAAGGAGAGTCTGCATATGCTGCATGGATCCTCAGGAATAATCAGGATTATGACCACAGTCTCAGAGCTCCTATGCAGATAAGCATACACTAGTTATGAATTTGAGCCTTCAGTTTCCGATAAGCAGCACCCCTGTATGAGGATACCAAAGGTCCTGGAGTTGCTGGTACTAGTAATCACTCTCAGCAACAGCGAGAGAAGTACCCCGAGGAGTTTGACAGAGGGCAGGCTCCGAATTGAGCACTAATAAACAGAGAGGCAAATACTAGGAAAATATTATTTGGAAGACAAAAAATTTCTCTTTACAAAGTAGATTCATACTGAGACCAGTATGCTTTAGCGGAGATTTGACTATTTAATTTAAAAATGCTTTCTGGAAGGTTGTTTGTAAATGCATCACTTCCAGTGAAATGAATGGCAACTGGAGCGGGCAGTATTGTCCTCAGTTTTCCCAACTAATCTCTTCACTACAGCAGTACAGGAGATCTCCACTGTACCAGAGCAACAAGAGAAAATTACTTTTTAAACACTACAGTCTGTTTTTTCCAAAACTACAGCCTGTACTAGTTGACGTTAACCAACTGGTTTCCTTTGCTTATCATGTTTTGTAATTTTATGAATAAAAGACAGACTCATGCGACCACAACAGAATCATATCAATGCCTTCCAGTTTCCAGTTGTAGAATGTTCATGTACACAAATAAAACAAAGCAAAACAACTAAATCTTACTCATTTTTCTAAAATTCTAAAAATATTCAGAGCCAAAGTAAGTGCATAGAATACAAAAAACTAGCTAAATTAAAAAGTTTTTCATGGATCCATAAAACTATATAAAACACAGCTCAGCTATTAAAAAGCAACTTCAAAGCCACCAATAATGGCCATTTCCTACACAATCACAAAGAATAATGTTCCTCAGCTTATGTACAACAATGTAGAAGAGAGAAAAGTACAGGAAAGCAAAATTTCATGGTAAATAAAATCTTTTTACTGACAATGATGCTGCACCACAGGATAACATTGATTGCCTAGTTACCAAAGAGTAATTTTGGAAACGTCTCAGCACCTTCCTGCCGAAAATATTAATTTAATCTCACATCTAGCAACCTGTGTGATGTCAACTTCTCTATCACAATTAATGGTTTTATTTTTGATGTGCATGCTGACAGCTCCTAAAAGCTAATGGAAAGTCATTTATGTGTAATTTAAAGTCTGATTACTTGAGTGTTAAAGTTCCCTGACAGTCCTTTATATTGGGAAGGGGAAATTTAGTAAGAAAATGAATCAGCTTTGCTACATTAAAATAACTTCTCAATCTGATATGAAAGTCAGGCCTAGAGTTTGCTAATATTAACATATGATGCAAAAATATGGTTTCACCTGAGAATAATTTCACAAATTATCGTTTTGTAGATGGTAAAACCTGAGTATAGGGGATGAAGGAACTTCATATGTGTCTTCAGATGTTTCAAAAGACAAGGAATTGAATCAATAAATGAGCTCTCTGAGCAAGACAATTTGCTACATTGTACTTGGAATTGATTGAAAATTTGACATGAAACATTTTTTCCACCAAAAAAACAGATTTATTCTAAATCAATATTTTCCATATGAAGATATTGACTACAGCATATTTTGTGTCAGGGCAAGTCAAAACATTGCATTTGGGTTTGTCAAGCTGGAACATTTCATTTCAAGTTGAGTTAACATGAACTTTGATCTGGCTCAGCCTTGGTGTTGCTTCCCATGGCTACTCTCCCCATGAGCTATGCTCTGCAGCCGGATTACCCTTTCCGTAATGCACAACGGGTGATCTTTGCTACTGAATCTTCTCTTCAGATTAACTACGGTAGCTCAAGTGGATGCTGGCTTTTATGCTAGTTTTCAAAACTTGCACATTTTTTATTTCATTAAAATATTTTTGTCATTTTTTACAGTTGTCACGGAGGGAAGAAGCTTGATATTTCAAATTTTGATGCTAAGGCAGATGAAAAGAAATACACAAAGTAATCAAACTTTCCTATAGAAGGAAAGTCCATTTGCACTTCTATGTGTGCTCTCTCTGATTAATATGATTCTGTTGTTATTTATATAGTTTTCATATTTTATATTAACTTTCTAGGATACAGAAGAAGATGAACCACCTTATTCTACTTTTCTCATTGTTCTCGGCTCCAGCATTTGCTGACAAAGAAAGTCAGAAAACAAACCAAAACTTTTCTTCAAACAATGCCAGTCATAAACGACTGAAGAGAGACTGGATATGGAACCAAATGCATATCAAAGAAGAGATTGATACACCATTACCACACCATGTTGGCAAGGTAAATAGCAGTCTGTTAGCAATGAATAATTAGAAATGCAGACAGCAAATGAGTATCTTGAAAAGTATTACTTGTTTGCAGTCTAGGCAGAACAGAAGAGAAAAAAAGGAAATAGAAATGGGACTTAATACCAACATATTAACGTGTTAAAATCTTAAGAATGTGGACACAGAGTAAATCAAGAATAATGTCAAAGGGATTCTAATTCTTTTGAAGACCACAAGTAAATTTTAGAGAATGGCAAGTATGGAGCATCCGCAGTGCAGAAACAATGGCATTGCATGCAGGTGCACAGTTAGGAAGGAAGTCTGGCAGCTGATGTATGTCAATATTTTTCTGGCAGCTCAAGATTCTTTCAAAAACCTAGAAGATCAGCTAATAAAAACATATGCATTAAAAAACATACAGTTTACATCTCTCAGCTTGGACACAAAACAAAAGTGCTATGTTTAGGAATACTGTTACACAATCAAAAAATTTGTTTCACAAAGTGAAAGAAAATAATTTTTAAAAATAATAACTAGCATTGACCTGCTTGTAAACTCATTTTCTTCAGGGCAGCGCTCATAAAATCCTATGATTAACTGCGTATCACCCAGACAAAGTTCTTCCAATGTAGTCTTTCAAATTGAACTACTTTGCCACTTTTCAGATAAATGCAGTTGTACATTTTCCTCCCATGTACAACAATCAGCATCTGTCAAGGCTGTCTAGGCAAAGTGAAACAGACCTTTCTGGATCAGTGCTGCTCACTGGCAGAAAGCACCAGAGTGAGAGAGAAAAGAGGCCATAGGGTACTCTCAGCTAACATGGGGTATCTCTGTTTCATTTCAGACCAATTCAGTAGCAGATTGAGGAGAACACTTCTATTCCTGGAGCTGTCCTAAATAAGAGTAATTCACTTTGTACTGTGCTCTGTGGTCTTTCAACAGTGGAATGCTTCTGATTACTTTTGCAATGGCTGTGTTCAGTGCATTGCATTTGCAGGATTGAACACTTGATAAACCCTTTTAAAAAGGCCACAGCAGCAGCGTGGCAGAACTGAGTGACAGCTGCAGGAATATGCTGATACATTTTGATTTTATCTTTCCTGACCTTGGATGCTTTCCTTTGTATGTTCATCCTCAGTTTTAGAAAAGGCAATCTTGGAAGTCTATACCTTTTACACTGAATAAGTAAATAAAAACTGAGAGAGAAGGCACAGACTATACTGTCTTTGAGACAAGGGTGAGGTTATTTCTCATGTTACATCTCCGGAGTTGTAAACTGTTCTTCAGCAGCCCCAGCAGCCAGAAGCATGCTTAAGTATGTGGAATGAAGGAAGAAAATTTTAATGACACATTTCAAAATAGAAAACAGAAACGAAAGAATGTTCAACAGTAAATGACAACTACAGGATAAATCAAATTGTGAATACCAAACAGCTGCAATTTATGATAACATCAGTAACAAAAGACTAGAAATTCTTGGTCGAACACAGCAATTATTGATAAACAGCTTGCTGAAATAAGAATGCTGATATAATGCATGGAAAAATGTGGTTTAAACCTTCTATCAGTGTCCTTAGATGGGTGAAGGTATAGAAAGGGAAGAATCATCAGATTATCTGCAGATTAAATAATGTGAAAAACCATTTGGGATTGGATTAAATTACATTTTAAAACTGATTAACGTTCATTCCTTTTACCCCATCCCTTTTTCATTGCATGTAATCTTGAATTTTAAAAATCTATTGGGTAGAAATTTAATTTTACTATCATAGCATGAGCCAAAAGACTGACTATTAACAAAATTGCATTTGACTAAACACAAGAAAGCTGTCAGCTATGGCAGGAATTCTGCTAAATGCTAAGTAATAGAGACTAATGTTGAATAATGTCAGTAGCTGTGAATATAGATTTGATTCTGTAATTCTGTGAAATCTAAGCAAAATCTCTGCTAAGTTCAGAAGGTTACTTGCAAACAAGAGTAGCTCAAACTGAACGTGGTGGCGCGTGTTATTTCAGACATAATGAGGTTAATGATTTGTATGTGTTAACTGCATGAACAATTTATATCTTTAGGAAATATGAGATGTGGTCTAAAAAAAATGCTTGTTGATATATAAGCAAGCAAGTTTCAGTCTGGATACAAGTTTCATCCTATAACCCTGCATGGCTGTAGCTGCTGTGGTGCTGCTTGTTCAGTAATACTCCAGCTGACATCAAAAGTCTTGATGGCTATTCTGGTTTCAAACTGAGTCTGAAGAAGTCCTGATTTGTGTGTATCTTCTGGTAGAAACTGTGTTGCATCCGGATGCCAAAGCCCACTTATCTCCTTGAATTATACTTTCCTTCTAGATCACATCAAGCGTAAGGAACAACAACGCTAAGTATATTATTGAAGGTGAATATGCCAACACCATTTTTAAAGTGGAAGAAACCAGTGGTGATGTATATGCATTTGAGAGGCTAGACAGAGAAAAGAAAGCAGAGTATGAGCTGACAGCTCTCATTATTGACAGAAGGAACAACCAGTCACTGGAACCCCCATCTAAATTCATTATCAAGGTCTACGATATTAATGACAATGTCCCTGTGTTTGTACAAAAAGTATTCAATGGATCTGTCCCAGAAATGTCACCAGTAGGTACGTTCTTCCATCACTCATTTCCCTTCATGCCTCTGGTTAAAAAGCAGAATTTATACTAAATATGCTGTTTGAAAATCCTTTTCTAGGAACCTCTGTCACCAAAGTGACAGCTGTAGATGCTGATGACCCAACAGTTACAGGTCATGCCACAGTTACCTACCAAGTCATTAAAGGAGACGAATACTTCACAGTTGATGACTCTGGTAGGTCAGATATGCAAATGTCCTTACACTTTGTCCTTATCTTACACTTTGAAGAAAATGTAGTTTTAAGCCTCTTTCATTCTGGACAAGGGGGATAATAATTCAAAAATATAATTTTAACCATAATTTAGAAAGATTTTTCATTCACACTCACACAATGCCACTGTCTGCATCTGGGTATGAATTAATAAAGTCGGGATACCAGGTGCCATGAACTAAATGAGAAGATAAAAGGTCATTTTTTCCCCACTGATGAAGAGACTGACTAGGAGCTAATATAAGTTCATGTTTTCAGTTTAGCATAGATACCATTCCTTTGACCAAACAGGAAAAGGGAATAGATAAATTCTGAAGCAGCATTCAATAACCAATAACTCAACCCTTTGCTTTCCTAAACTTTCTTGTTTAAATTTCACACAGTTTTAAAAATAATGTCAGTATCTCTTGTAACTGTACTAGTCCTCTGGAGCAAATAACTCAGATAAAGAGGTGCTCAGACAAACTCTCTAGATGCTGTAGTGACCAAGTTTAGACATCATTAGACTGCTTCTAAGCAGCAAAGATCAGTTTAAAGGAATGTATTGTACAATATCTCCCAAATATTCCACCATGTAGAAATACTTCTAACATTTCTAGCCTTAGAAAAATACCACTGTAAAAATGCTACTTAAAGCTGAATGTATGGCATAAGACAAAAATTTGCTGTCAAAATTAAGAGATGTTGGACATGTTGCAAAATCTAATCATATTCAATGTTATCTTTTCAAAGGTGTGATTTCTACAACAAGGGCTGATTTAGACAGAGAGAATCAATCAACATATGAAATTATTGTTAAAGCAAAAGATGCACCAGGGTCTTCTGGGGATTCAAGCACAGCTACAGTCATTATCACTTTAACCGACATCAATGACAACTTCCCAGTATTCAAACACCGTAAGTATAATGCAAGCGCTGTATCATTTGGAAACCAAGGGTTGACACTACTATAGCGAATTTATGTCAGAGTTCATCACAATTCAACTTTTCTTAAATGTGGACAAAAGAATCTTACATATTCAGAAGGTCTTCTGTATTTCAGCCCTAGCTACCTTTCCTGGGTGACACACAGCTAGAGAGAAAATAAAAATCAGTATTAATTTCATCATTTTGCACAAGATCTTGACAATTTTGAGAATTAATTATACTTTTATAAAAAATACATCAAAGTGCTGTCTGTAGAAATATATAATATTGAATTCTCAGTGAAATATTTTTCTGTACTTCTATAAACTAAGAACAATTTTTAACTAAGTTCTGACTTCCATGTACACACTCTTTATGTCTTTTTTGTTGTTTTGTTTTTTTTTTTTTAACAGCATCATTTCACTTTAAAGTTCCTGAAAACATTTCAGTAGGAGGAGAAGTTGGCAGAGTCAAAGTAGAAGATGTTGACGAACCACAACATAGAAATACGAAATACAGTTTTGTCAGAGGAGATTACAGGGACACCTTTGAAATCGTAGCAAATCCATTCACAAATGAAGGGATCATTAGGCCAAAGAAGGTACTTTTCCCAGTAGCAAAGATGATTATTTTGTTTTTCCATGTGTAACAAGAGCGTTTGATTCAGTTTGGGACTAGCGGCAGGAAAAAATGGAAATACGTGGAAGTTGGCATGAAATACGCTCACCCTGAAAACCCTGTTCTGTAAGCTCTGTGAGAAGAGCTGGTGATTTACTAGTCCATTTCAACTGCCAGGCGTGGGAAAATCTAGAATTACTGCAGAGTGCAATAGGGACTATGTCAGACATTCACGTTACGCACTTCAGGCTCCTCTCAAACTTCAGACACTTGGATGCTTTAAAGAGTCAGTGATTTTAAGAGTTAAACCAACTGACCCAGTCAAAGAATATTTCCCTTCTGCAGTCCAAGTGAAACCAAAGTAGAAAATGTGAACAAGTCCACCTGACCACTCTTCTAAAAGTGCTCTTTACAGTTTGGCACTTGCTCCAATCTGAGCCACAGCTCCCTTACTTTCCTCAGGGTGTTTTCAGAGCTTCCCCACTAATTCCTTATAACTCTTTAAGAGGGCCCAGACTCTCCAGAGCCTTTATTATGGTTTGCTCTTTGTTTTTTAATTCTCAGACCTACTTGATTTGTACCAAGGGACATTCCTGCATTATGCAGAGCACTGCCAAGCCAAGAGTTCATTGATTTCATTGACTTACAGTAAAAAAAAAGAGGAAGGAGGACTATGAATCACCTCTGGTAATCCTCAGATTGACAGGAATGTGTTTTTCATTTCCAAATGTCTCTCTGTCACTGTTAAGACTAGAAATGTTGTTAAGAAGAAGAGAAAGCTTTAAGGAAAAAAAGTACTAAGTATTCCAAGACCAGCAGCAAAGTCTTCAGCTGTGGTCACACTAGGTGTAAGCAGCTTTCCTTCACCAAATGCAGCCCTTCCCCTGGTCTTTCCAGGACCTGAGGAATGCATTGCTTGCAACTTTTGCCCAGAGGAGGAGCAGTAAGAGACCCCACACATACACACACTGGGTGATTTGGAATCAGCTCATCTTTTAACACACAGTGGGCAAAGTTCACCCCACTGTTTTGTAACATGCTTTTGGCCATGCACATGTCATAATTTTAAGTATGCAGTCATGTGAGAGAAAATTTCAACTGCTAGATAAGCACTATCGCTTCCATTTGCAATGTCTACTCAAAGAGAAAAACAAAGAGTCACCACAATTAACTACTGTGTGTTTCACGGTGCTTTTATAATCTCGGGCGATAGTGCAAAGGGACCCAAACTTTGAAATGAGCGATGGCTTGGGCATTTCTTACTGCCCTAGCTCCTGGCCTTCCCTCCATTGTGTGATGCCTTTTATAACCTCAGTCAATGGGAAAAACAAGGAAGTGGATGTCGTTTATCACTAGATGCCCCAGCTATCAGTCAGTGCAGCTACGCAGTCTGCCTTGAATGACTTCAGAACAGAAAGCCTAGTCAAGAAGAGGAGAATCTGGTCCCCAACCTTTGAGAAAAAGGAGCTAAACAAGTTTTGGTAGCTACAGAATTATAAAAAGAAAATTATTTACACCAAGAAATACTTGCTGAACTTAGAATACTGGATGAATCTGTTCAAAACTGTAAGTTGCTCAAGCCACTCTAAGAAAGAGAAGTTCAGTTTGGAAATGCTCTCCCAAGAGTCTAGCTAAGATGCAATTCCGTAATATTTCCAAACATGAATTAGAGCACAGAGCTTAAATTTGCATAGATAGCTAATGCAAAGTTTACTTAGACACCTCCAAAGGAAGAATATCTGTGTTTGTCTTTTTTCTAGCCCCTGGACTTCGAAAAAGTAGCAGAATACAGGTTTGACATTGAAGCAACAGATCCCACAGTCGATCTTCGTTATTTTAAATCCGGTGGCTCTAGGAGCATTTCAACAGTCACCATTGAAGTCACTGATGTTGATGAGCCTCCCATCTTCACTAAACTACCATATGAATTTAAAGTAAGGGAAAATGATCCAGAAATAAGAACACTCGGTTCAGTTTGGGCACACGACCCTGACGCAGCTAAACGGAAAATCAGGTAACATGACACCAGCTTTAGTAATTCTATTTTAAAGTGGAGAATTCTTTAACAATTCCAAGAATTTGACAAAGAACTGAGACTTTGGCCCTATTTTTCAGAATCTGCATGCCAAAAAAAAAAAAAAAATCCAATTTTATTTTTCCGGCACTGCAGCCATGGAGATATATATATGGTAACCAACAAATTGAACATAAATTACATTTACCCATGTAATTACCACATAAACTTACTGATAAAACATTTGCACGTATACAGGAAAATGCATAATCCTGCATATCTTTACATGGTTAAAATTTATTGTTACATTTTTTATTGTAATAACTCTCTCAAGCATGTGCTTTGAAAATAAAAGAGACTTCTGAAACAGCAAAAGACAATAATCTGGAAACTTTTCCAACGGATGTATTTCACTCTCACAGCTTGCATAATTTTAGGGAAATATTCTGAGACCACCTGGTCAAGATATTAACGTAATTTGTCACACAAGAACTCTCTGACCTTCCACTATGAAGAACTGAAGTGAAACACAGTATTATCACCCTTGCATTGACATATCTCTTTTGAAAAAAAAAAACAGATTTATTCGACGAAGAGCTAGTCCTAATGGAGACTATATTAGGGTATCCGATACTGGAATTATTCAGCTTCCCAAGCCCCTGGACAGAGAATTCAGTTCCTCATACAACATCACTGTAGCGGCTCAGGAAATCCTTGAAGATGGTAAGTGCTATCCACTTCCCTATTTGAAAGAAATCAGTGTACAACTTTACAGCAGGACTGTAGCTTACCAAAAAGGAAAGCCGCAACCTGACAGCCTGTTTCCACTAAGCTACAAATGAAAGGGATGCTTGCAGAGTTTGCACAATAATCTTCCACATCAAATGAGTACCTACAAATAGGTAAAATACAGTTTTAAGATTTGGCCCCTAGCTATTATGAAAATGCATTCAGTTTGTTACAAGGAATAAAAAGGGCATGAGGAGAGGAAACAGCTTGGAAAACAGGGATAAGCCTGTGGTTAGAGCAGAAACATCCCAGCCAGCTTCACCCACTTACACAGTTACAAAACCCCCCTCCCACAGTGCTGCCCAGGGAGCATCGCTGCACAGGCATCCCTGCATAGCTTCGCTCGGGTTCAGGAAGCAGGGCAGGCCTGGGGGGCCAGTCCCAAGTTGGTTTTGGGGAGGCCGGCCTTTTCTGGAGGGTGAAAGATATTTAATAATCTAGACATGGCCTGTTCTGTGCCTTTTGCCTTAGTGCCAGAGAACGATGCTGGATCCCATAGCCACACAGTGTGAAGAATCAAGAAGCGACAAACAATTGTCAGTTTCTTCCTCATAGATCCTTGATGATTTAGCCCAATAGGAGAGTTTTTAGGAAAATATCTGAATCCGTCAAAGGAAAAGTTTAAATTAATGATGGAAACTCTCCATTTTTGGCATGCAGGAGGTACAGAGGTGGACACAAACAGTGGAAAGGGGGGGCTAGATAGCACTGAGATTCCAGACATCTCAGAGACCTGTACTGTTGTTGTCATTTCAGGCCGTCTTTCTGACAGAGAATCACATGCCCAAGTTCATGTAATAGTTACTGATGAAAATGATAATGCTCCAGAACTTGTTTATCCTGAGGAACCCAGAGTGTGTGAAAATGCTGCACCAGGAAAGGTGAGACAGGAGGAAGAGTTTTTCCCTTAAACCTGAATTATCTACTTGCAAGCTCAAGCAAAAGATGTCTTTTAATAAAAGTTAGTCTCAGTTTTCATACCCAAGCACCTGATCATTTCACTGATTTCCAAAATGTCAGTGGTCAGAAATCTCTCTTCAGGACTATACACTGTTGGAATATTGACTTTTATCTACTTACGCACATGGGCTGCACAGTTCCTCTCCCTCCAAGCTTTTAAGTATGTATGTGCATTAGCAATTGAACAGTGAAGTACAGTCAAGCCTTGAAGAGCAAAAATTAGCAATTCAGTTTTATCACACAAATGTTCATACTTGATACTGAGAATGAAACCATTTCACAATACTAAGAGAAACACTGCTGCATATAACATTATTGTAGTATTCATCAGAGTGCAAGTATCTGCATGCACAATAGTATTAGTATTTGTGGTTTCAGATGTTTGGCCTCAGACACAAGTATTTAGCCTGTAATGTTTGTTTAATTAAGAGACTTTGTCACAGATTCTGATGGAATCTGTTAGAACACACAAGATTATTATTTCACCTTTAATTTTTAAAATACTTTTGGGACATAATCATACACATTTTTTTACATTTTGTACATCTAATCTACCCCAGGTTGAGGTTTTCAAAAACAAGCATGTAATTCAGGAGTGGCAGTCTCAATGACATTCAATGAATGAGAGTCATACTTCTAAGTAAGTTGACCACTTCAGAAGACAGCCATCTTAGGTATATAAATGAGCCATATGTCTTTGAGCATAAGACTTTTTTTATGCTTTAATTACACAAGATTTCCTCTTTTGTTTCCCACCTGTGAATGAAGGGGCAAGACTGCTCTTTTTTAAGACCTACAAGGAAATTACTTGCCTTGAAAGAACTTGAGGAGGAGCATCAGAAGATATTTTTGTCCTGTCCTTTACTGAAGGGTTATACAGTATACACAGCCCAGCTCTAACTTAAATACTGTAAGCGGTTTTATCGCTGGAGGCAACGTACACTGAAAATTATGATCTCTTCCATCTTTGTAGGTAATCATCAGGATTTCAGCTACTGACAAGGATGAAATATCACCTAGAGGTTTCTTCAAATACTCCCTGGCCACAGAAGATAGCAACTTCTCCTTGGTTGAGAACTACGGTAGCGTATCCCTGCAACGCATTTTCTCAGCTAGCCAAAGTGAGACACTAGGACAGAGGGGAGAAAAGCTCTAGCAATGACCTATGATTGGTCTAGCTGAGCTAAGTAACAATTTATTTTTAAAGGCTTAGCTTACTGAAAAAAAATGGTGTTTGTTGCCACCCAAGTTTCACTGGGTTCCCTAAAGGCTGGCTCTTCCCTCGTCTAAGGGGAAGAAGTACCAACTGATTGATAATCTATGAGGAAAATATGGTAGAGATTATCACTTAATTAGATGTCATTACTTCTTCCAGATAACACAGCTAATATCACTGTCAAATATGGACAGTTTAATCGTGAACTTGCCAAAATCCACTACCTGCCCGTCATCATCTCAGACAACGGTGATCCTGAGCTCAGCAGCACAAATACACTTGTCATTAGTGTCTGCAAGTGTAATGAAAAAGGCAACTTCACTTTTTGTGAGGAAAGAGCTGAACAAGTTGGAGTTAGTATACAAGCACTGGTGGCAATTTTTATCTGTATCTTCACAATCATTGGTGAGTATTTGACTTTTGTAATGTTCTCTGACTTAAAATGTGGGGATTGTTTTCTTTTGTTTTTTCTTAACTGAGACCTACAAAAGCTTTGTGGCTATACAATGGTCACAAAGGCAGAAATACTGTAACTATTTGATTCTTCTCACCTGCTTTTTCTGTGGCCTATTAGCATAGTTTCAGCTACAAAGCTGTTCATTCTATTGGAAAGGCTGAGTCACTGGAAAGGTCACTGCACGTATGCATAATATACTTGATTTACTGTTACCAGACTCACATGCAGCTATAAAACAGGAATTTTGTGCTGGGGCAATAACAATAGGATTCCTGTTTCCAAAGGCTGAACTGGTCTGTAAACACTTTAAACAGTACAGTGAACATACATACATAAATAGATCTGTAACAAATCAGCAGACCAGTACCTATTTGCTGTATTTGGAATCTATCAGAGAAGGGGCAGCATTTTTTCTTGCTTGAGAAGAGGCCTCGTTTGCAATTACCATGTAAGTAGCATTTGATGCCTAGCATTAAAAGATTTACCAGTTCAAGGCAGTAATTGATTCAATGAACCTGTGACACTATGCATTTGTACTTGTGATTCCAGCTCAAGAGTCAGTTGTACAATTCCTGTACAGACTGAACTGCTTTGAGAACATACAAATCCTACAGTTAAACAGTATTTTAAACTTTTTTTTTTAATAAATATGTGTTTAAAAAAATTCACTCTGGAAAAAAAACACTTCAGACTGTGTTACATATCCTAAATGCAATTTGTTTTACTTCCTTACTTCTCTTATTTACACGTGCTCATCTAAGCTTTCTTTGCAGTAATCACTTTGCTAATTCTTCTAAGAAAGAGACACAAGAAGGATTTGAGCGGTCTTGGGAGGAATGTGGCAGAGATTCATGAGCAGCTTGTCACTTATGATGAAGAAGGTGGTGGTGAAATGGATACCACCAGCTATGACGTATCTGTACTCAACTCTGTCCGCAAGAATGGTATAAAGCTGGAAGCAGTTCCCTCTCCATATGCACAAGTCCAAAAGCCTCCTGGAAATATAACTTCTGGTGCTGGAGAAATGGAAATGATGATTGAGGTTAAGAAGGATGAAGCCGACAATGACAGGGATTTGCTGCCATATGACACACTTCACATTTATGGCTACGAAGGTGCCGAGTCCACTGCAGAATCTCTCAGTTCTTTGGAATCAGGCTCCTCAGACTCAGATATTGATTATGACTTTCTAAATGACTGGGGACCCAGGTTTAAAATGCTAGCTGAGCTGTATGGATCAGAACCAAGTGAAGATTTTGTGTATTAAGTTCAAACTAGCCATGAATTTTCTCCCTCCCACTACAGATAGACATCAAGAGCCTGCCAATGGCCAAAGAAGAACTCACAGCTCTTCACCCAAGCCATACCAGGATTTCAAACAGCAGTAGAGTTAAAAAGAAACACACAGATCACATACATTGACTTCCCCTAGCACTGCTATCCTTGCTAACATTCAGTTCTTTCCCCAAAATTGCTGCTCGAGGACCTGCTCGAGTCTTTTAGGACACAACTCCTCTCCCTATCCAGATAGACACTTCTCCTTAAAAAGTGGTTTTGTCCTCAGTTTCTCGCTCATTCCTCTCCTCCTGTACTGTTTTCATCAACCTGCATTCAAGGTCACCATCCACTGGAACAGAGGGGTTCGGTGGCATTGGGAAGGAATGTTTTGAATAACCTCCTGTATCTCCAGCCGGCTGGTTTGCCTGGCCCTCTTGTAACATCTTTATTGATATTCCACGCTGTCGTGGTTTAACCTCAGCCGGCAACTAAGCACCACGCAGCCGCTCGCTCACTCCCCCCACAGTGGGATGGGGGAGAGAATCGGAAGGGTAAAAGTGAGAAAACTCATGGGTTGAGATAAAGACAGTTTAATAGGTAAAGCAAAAGCCACACACGCAAGCAAAGCAAAACAAGGAATTCATTCACTACTTCCCATCGGCAGGAGGGT